TTCTTGGCTGATTTCCTTGGTGTTTGTTTGATATACTAGCTCACAAGCACTTAAGGATGGGAGTACTTACTATAATGGTGCTTGATTCGAGCTAAAAGGGCCAAGAACACTTAGTGTATGTTCTTGGTGTTTTTGAAATCTAATCAAAATACACAAATAAATGGATGAATAGGTGTACAAACACTAGATTAAGTGTTTTACTAACTTGAAATGGTTAGAACACTTACAAGATCGAAGTTTTGGAATTAAAGGTTGGATGATAGTTGAGAGGGTTTTTGGGAGTTTACTCTTTTCACTTTTTGGGGAGTAAACACAAATGGCTAGTTCTTGGGGAGTAAACTCATACATAGGCATGATTTTACGGTTTTTGGGTGATTCCTAAACCCAAAACATAAAAGTTTAGTTGGGTGATCCTAATACGGGAAGTGTTTGCGGTTTTCAAAATAAAAGCCCGAGACGACACTTTCTTTTACCCGTTCGTTTAAAGATAATAATAAAATAATTAAACAAACTTTATATTTCTTAAAAATAAGAAATAATGATATTAAATCACGATACGAAGGGGTTGACTTTTAAGGTTTGACCAAAAGGAAATTTCCGGTTGTCACATCCGGCCCCTTTAGTCTTGACGGCCACACACTTCGTCGAATGCAACTCGTCCGGGATTCGGTCGTTGGTCCTATGTGGATTCTTGACAACCAACCATACCTCATTCTTCCCCATGAGTATATAGGTTTTGAGCCAACCGACCCCGATCAATGGATCATTCCATCCTACTACCCTCCTCCTGTAGATGATGAAGATGATGCAGTTTCGGATTTCATACTTGGGATTAGATGCTGGAAGCTTAAAGGGGTAAGTGATCATGGCCAGATAGTTTCATGAAGAATTATGCATATAATACTAACAAATGTAGGATATACTATAGCAATAGATGCTCTTAGCCTTGTGGTCACTACTGCTGAGAGGATCACACTTGATCATGTTTGAATTGTTAGGATGAAGCATTGGTGCTTGTCCCCGAGTAGAATCCATATCCGGTATCTTTACATTACCATATCCTTTTTGCGATTTTCTTAGGATTTTAGAGAGCCTTTTAGTCCATATTTGGACATTTTCATCATCTTTGAAAGATCACAATTTGAAAAGGAGCTTACATTACATCTTTATGCTCCACACATGGTCACACTTAGGCCATTCGGATTATATCACTACCCTTTCGGTTCCACTTACACACTTTTGGGAACCAAATTATGAGTAAAAATGTTCTTGTTAAAAATTCTGATTGTTGATACATTACCTTCAATTTTATATCAAGAGAGAGAGAGAGAAAGAGAGAGAGAGAGAGAGAGAGAGAGAGAGAGAGACAGAGAAAGAAAAAATAGCATGCGAATTTCCAGTTGCAACTATCTTAAATAGGTGACCAGTTCAATTATTGAACAGATTTTCCAACATTTTGGTCACCCAACGTTTGATATTCATTTTTATAGGCTTGTTTTATTGTATATGGATCGAGTTTTTTTTTCGCAAATTGGTGATGTTAGGGAGACTGTCGAGTCGGATACTACGGGAGGTTTGGGCCAACAGTAAGTGAACCGATTCCTACAATAGTGCCCCAGCGATTAAATCCAATTACATATGAGAGTAGCTCGCAGACGTGAGATCAGAGTGTACACTTAAAAGAAGGGCTCCACATGAGCCCATCCAGCTCCTTTGTCCCTACTACTTATGTTCTTCATTGTATGCATGTTTCATTAGAGCTGCGACTGCTCATCCCTCCTTACTCACCTAAAAAAGTTGTCCTGGATGTGGTTTATGGTTCCATTGTCATCGGATGAAAAATTCGTGAGGTAATAGCAAGATCAATTTTGACCATGTTGACTAACGGTGATCAGGTTCCGCAGTTCTATCCATTCTTTCTATTTTCCTTAGGATAGTTCATCCCGAGTTCATTTTAGTCTTGTCTTACTTGAGGACCAGTAAGGTTTAAGCTTGGGTGATTTGATAGCTTCATTTTATTTACTTCTTTTTATAGTTTTTTTTAGCACATTTAATTTGCATTTTATTTAATTTCCATACATATTTTCCTTTTTGTTATTTTCATGACCATTTTGGGTACTTTCTAGTTTCTTGAGCATTATTGCAGATTTTTTGGAGACTACCGGAGCGGGATTTTTGGGAGGCAATTGGACTTGAAGGGCAATTGGGATTTTATGTTTGATGGCTATGGAGGTGATTCATGGAGTGTGCTTGTCAATTGCTTGAAGGCATGGAAGTGTTGAACTTTAAATTTGAAAGGCAGGGGAGAATTCTTGAGTGTGCAAGATCGATGTTTAGGAGTTTGGGGAAGCTTTGAGTGATGTGGAGAGAAAAATTGGGCTCAAATTGAAAAAATATTGAAGGAAAATGGGCTAGAAGCTTATTAGACTCGAACTGGGCCAATGGTTAAGTTGTGGGGGCCCAAATCTTAAAGAAGCCCAAAAAAATCTTCTTTTCACATCTTGATTATTAGGAAGGTTGGTGTGCCTCTTCAGCCTTATCTTGGATGTCCGATTTTTACACTTTCTATCTGGAGATTGGAGCACTTTTGAAGGCCAAGAACATCTTCTTTTCACATCTTGATTATTGTAAAATGTTTGGTACAATCTTATCTAACTTTGCTTCTTTGAGTTTAGTCATGTGTGGCTAAACTAATATTGGTTGACTTTGTGTTGAATCCTTTGAAATTTTGTTGAATATTGAAGATTCCATGAACTTGTTCTTAAATCTTTATGGAAATGTTTGTGTTTTAACATATTATCACTACTATTATGTTTTTATTCATGAGTTTAAATGTGTTTGTGGTGATTAGTTGGCTAATTTCTTGATTAAGTAACGGATCCTCAAATTAGCAAGCAACAAATGATTTTTGTGTTGTTTTTGCTTCACACAATCATAAAAATATTTTCTCCAACATGGTAATGAAAGCAATTGACTCATCTTGGATTTGGTGACTTTTTGGTTCTTAATGCTAGTTGATTTTTACTAATTACATGCTATTGGAATTAGTGACTTTGACTAAGGAAATTGTTATGAGTTTCTCTAACCATTTTAAAAACTAAGAAAAGTCTAGGTAATCTCAAGTTTCTTGGATTACTATGGTCAAATTAAGGATTTAAAACAAGTATTGCACCACTGGATCCTAATGATATGTTCATCAAAAAGTCTAAGTGAGGAAACCCTAAGTCAACCATCTTTCACTTATTGATTTTATATCAAACTCTTATTTTTGTTGAAATTGTTTATTTAAATCTTAGTTTAATTCTAGTTTATTTAAAGTATTTCAAAAGACCAAACCCCCCCCCCCTCCCCTTTTTTAATTTATTATTAGTTTACAAGTATTTTTACAAAGAGATTTTTCATAGCGTTATAAAATTGAACCAATCTTCGTGGATTCGATCCCTTTACCACTATACACTATTTTAGTGTGTAATATTTAGGGTTATTAATTTTGTTGGCCTAGAAAACCACCATCTATTTGATCCTATCCCGAGCCTTCGGCATGACTAGACCGCCTCGTGGGCCTACAGTCTCCCTGGACCGCTCATAAGGTATGTTGGCCTTCAACACAAAGCAGGACCGCCTCAACCCAACCAACATGCAAATAACCATGTATGCATAACTATCATATATTGGCATATACAAACATCAAACATATCTATCTCACTGATCATCAATCATAGAAATCTCTCGTAACTAGAGTACCGACCTAGCAGGTCACTAACATACCAATCCCTACGGATCATAAGAGCATAATATACTATCTATGCTGATTTCGATCTAACAGATCATAACCATATGTACCACATCCTAACAATAACAACTTAAGGGTCGGCCTTGGTGTCGTAGACCCTATTGATATAGTGAGGATAACTTACCTTGCAGATGTCGACTCGGTAGATGAACTCCAACTCTCGAATCACTGACAAAAACTCCACCACCTATTACCATAATATAATTATACCCATAAGTTCCAAACCTTTCAAGGTACCCCAAAATCCACTAATCAAACCCTGGTCAAAATCAAGGTCATCAGTCAAGGTCAACAGTCCATGTTGACCCTAACTCGCCGAGTTCCTTAAAGTACTTGCCCACTCGCCGAGTCACGGAGTCACTCGTTGAGTTCCTTTGGTTTACGCTTGAACTCTAAGGCCACTCATCAAGTTTCCTTATTGCAACTCGACGATGACACACACATACATAAATTGGGGAAAACTCATCCGACTCGTCGAGTGGTTCATACCACCCATCGAGTTCCTTGGCAATCTTCATCAGACTCGCCGAGTTGTTCATCCAACTCGTCGAGTCCATGCCTATCTTCAAATCACTCGTCGATTCGACCTTGAGACTCGCCGAGTTCCTTCATTCCATAAGCCATGTAGTGGCTCCAAATTACATATCCAAACTTCTAAGGCATGCATGTCACGTAAAGTTGCAAACTTTATGTGCATGCATGGCTACAAAGGCTCTAAATGTCAAATCCAAGCTTACAATGGGGTTTCATACTCAAGGAAGGTTTCATACATGACCAAGTTCATAGCTTTCTAACTTTAGAACCCAAGAAGGGTCCAGATTTGAAGTTACAACTTCAGATCTAGCTCATATCCCACATTATTATCTCAAACATGCCATAAAAGCCCTAAATCTCAACCAAATGAGGTCTACAAGGAAAATGAAGTAAAGGTGGCGACTTGATACCTTCAAATGATGCCAGCTGAGGTAGATCTCTAATTCCCACACCTTCCTTGCTCCTAATATCTTTTCCTCTAAACTCTTCCTTTCTAAAGGTTAAGACACACAAGGATGAACACCACACGAATTAGGGTTTATCAATGGACTGCAAAGAGGCTAAAGGGGGCTTGTGCTTCTTTAAATAGGGTGCAAAAACCCAAGATTTAGGGTGTCATCGGCCAGCTCCTACTCGTCGAGTCCCTTTATGGACTCGACGAGTAGGCCACTAAATGCGCGATCCCACCTCGCTGCTACTCGATAAGTAAGGCAACCAACTTGTCGAGTAGATCTTAAAACTAAATAAACTTTGATTTACATCCATACCTGAGAATCAGGACGTTACAAAGAGCTTCAAGTGTAACTCTTGGTCACTCCACCCCACCCATCTCACATCTTCATAAGGATGACGACGATACCGTTTTCGGAGGTGATGAAGAATACTTTGCCACTTTTCCATTCAGCTCATTCACTGTTCAGGCAGACAGTCACACTAAAGCCCCTGTCACTCAAGGGCAATTAAAAGAAATCAAAGAAAAGCTAAATTCACTACTTGAGGCTTCTAAAGCTTCCTACAGTGAAGTTTATTCTAAAGCAGCAGTTAAATTCATTTTCCAGGCCATAACGAAGAAGCACAATGTGAATCACAAAAAGTTGAATAAAGCAGTTACTGGTTCTGCTGTTATGTGCAAGGATTCGACCGAAAAAGTCGATAAACTAATTAATGATGCTCAGACTTTTATACTAAAATTCCAAACTTCCTTCAAGACCAATATTTCAAAGGCGAATGCAATTATTGCAAATCTTGGATCCTCTCTCAAAACCGAGAAGGAAGCTCTTGAGAAGGTTCGCACTGGCCTTCAAAAGGATAAGTCTAATTTCCAAGCCACAATCTCTTCGCAGATTGAAAAGTTACATGTCAAATTGGCTATGTAGAATAAGATCATGGACGAATTGGCTGCCAAGACAAAGAAGTTGAAGTTTCTCTCTGTCAAGCTTAATTAGGCGAACTAGCAAATCGATAAGCTTAAGTCTGAGAAGGTGGTCATGCGAAGTTGTGTTGCTGATATCAACTCTTTACTATCCAACATCATGGAGACTTGCGATCCACTGATTCCTATCACTATCAAGAGGCATCTGGAAAACAAGCTACAACCTGATTTCTCCATGTTAAACAAGCTAGAAGGAGTTTCGGAGTCCACAACACTTCCGAAACAAATGGAGAAACAACGAAAGTTCAATCTACGAATGAACCAACCTTGAAGTTCGCTGATACTTCCTTCAAAACTGAAATGCCTAAAACATCAAATGAACCTAAGGTTAATGAAGCTTCGGATTCAAAAGGGAAAGGGAAGCTGGTTGAAAGTGTTGAAGAGGAAGAAAATGAAGCCGACAAGCTGAAATGAAAGGCTCGTGATCAAGTTCTGGATGAAAATGCTCGCATAGTGACAGAGGCTGAAAAGAAAGAACGAGTTGAACACGAAGCTCAAGTCACACTGGAAATCCGAAAAACTTTATCTCCTTTGTGTACCTTAGATTGAAAATTAAATGAAGCTGTGGACAACCCCAACATTCACTGGCTGTAGCCAGTCACTTCCTTTGATCTATAGAATACTCTAGATTAGTAATTAGACTTGCCGATCAATCCAAAGGCGTTTTTGTTTTGCAGCTTTGCGACAGTTGCGAACACTCCTGATTCTGATGGGAATGTTAACACGAAGTTGATGGAGTTTTACTAGAAGCATGCCAAGTTGCAGTACCAAACACGGAGTGCTCAGAAGATAACGACTGTGAAGGTCGTAGTTCCGGTTCAAACTAAAAATTTCGTTAATTCAAAGTTCAAGATTACTCGAGGTTCCGAGAGTTTAGTTTTTGAATTCTCTCTTGCAGATCTTCCATGCCTCAATCCCTACAACTGAAATACACTAATGCATCTCTTGTTGGAAGAAGAGAAGAAGTATGATCCTCTCATAGACCATATCAAGCGAATGTTAGTCTCATATATCTATGAGGTAGCGACACTGGATATCGAGATTTCTTCAGTATTGATGAGGAAACCAAACTTTCTTCCCCAAGGCAAGGCAAAAGACATAATCAAAATAAAGATGGGGAAGATTAAAAAGGATAACTAGACTGTAATGTTTCATCGTGATTTAGAGGTCATGGTGATTTCCAAAGATGTCTCTTCGCACTTCCTGAAAAGCACTTGTTCTCCACGACTTGTTTGGAATTTATTTTAGAGATAACAAGTCAGTGCAAGCTAAATGATGATGCTGCGAAGAAGAGCTTTTCAGACATGATTCGCTGGTATATAGCATTTCGTAGCACACTTCTTAGCATAATGCCCAAGCTCTTCAAGACTACAAACAAGACACAACAGTGAAGAGCATCCCACCTCAATTGACGCAAATAGGTAGATTGTTAGGTTATTAATGTGTTGTGTCATTAGGCTTTTGTATAGTCTATTTTGTAACCGATTTGGGCCTGTCCACTCGTTATTTATGAGGTTTTAGCTATATAATGTGCATGCATGAATCGTATTTAAGGTAATCGTGTTATTGTAAACCCTACACGCCTCTACATTAGTAGTTCTTTATCGAGCTCTTATGAGGCTGTGACTTTTAATCATTAGACACATTCTTGATTCATTCTTCTTGTTTTGATTTCTATTACCTGTTTTGAATCTATTCGATCTTTAAGGTTTTATTCCTAACATGAGTTATGCTTAACGTACTTTAAGTATAATTTATGTTTAAGTTCATTATCATTATTATGAACCTATAAACAAGATTTATCATTGATTTCAAGTAATTATACTAATTGATCTACTTATGGGGATGATGTCTAGGATAGATTTAGTGAGGTGTTTAAAGTGAGATTTCCAAGCAGTATACTCCGTATACCAAATGGACCCTACCTTCGATATGATCCTACCTGGTTGTTCCTTACTTGATAGAACGTGAAGTAGACTTTGAGTTAATGATGAATCTAGACTAATAAATAGTCGCAATAAATATTAGACTAACACTTGGTGATAAAGACACTAGGTTACATAAAAGGAAAAGACAGTTGCTAGAAACGAAGCGTTGCCCGAATTTCGATTCATCACTTTAACAAGTGAGTTCATAGTTACTTTCATCTTATACATAGATATGAAGTATATAATATTAATGCATGATATATGTGTGTATTATTTGTGTTCATGATATCTATGCTAGATGAACAATTTATACATGGTTTACTTGATTTAAACTGTATATGTATTTTTATATCTACAAATATATTGGGAAAAGATGGGTAGATGAAAGATTATATGGACGATGAGAGATGAAAGATGATATAGATGTTGAGAGGTGAAAGATGATGAGAAACCTTGACTTTAAAGCTGATCGGGTTATCTAGCAAAGTATAAATGACAACCACAGGCCCTTCTAGACAGTCTAGTGGAACGCTAGCAGGCTCGCAACTTGTAGGTGTTTTTGAATTACGTTTTAACCAGATGTACTCTAAAAATCATGGAAGTCATGTTTAATGGATAACATTGGTAGCTGTGCCTAATAGATCACATTGGCAACTGTGCCTAATATATCACATTGGCAGGTGTGCCTAATACATAACATTGCCAATTGTGCCTAATATATAATGTCGACAATTACGGACTTAGTGCTTGTTAGATAAACCATGGCAGAGATGGACTTTGTGCCTATTCCTTAGGACAATCCTTAGGAATAAATAAATGAAGAACAGATGATTCTCAGGGAAAATCCTAAAAAATAAAGAAGACAATGGTGATGAGAAATTAGGTTAATTGTTTGATGATTAAACATAATAATTATATTATTGTGGGTTGAAAACCCTATGTACTTACCAGGTTTCCCAAACTAACCCACTCAGTTTATTGTATCACAAGTGGTTATATGAAAGACACGTTATGGTGAGAGATTCAAGGAGTATTAGGTCATTAGTTTAATTACAGTAAGGCTTGTAATATTTCATTATGCTTATGTTTTTGTATTGATGATGACATCCCAATGTTTTAATATAAAAAAAATACATTTCTTCGGAAATGCTTTGATAATATCTGATATGGGCATATTTAGTTATAAAATTCATGCATTATCTTAATACTTTATGTTGATTTTGTCTCATTTAATGAACAAAAGGTGCTTAATTAGATTAAATATTTCATTTTCAGCAACAAATACATGCTCGAAAGGAAAATGAAGCGGAACTAGCGATTGGACGCTTGGATCATGGATTTTGAAGAAAGAAGGACGTTGCTGGACAGCTTGACCCCTCGTCAGTGTTTTGGCCATATCTCATGAACCGTAACTTCGATTGATGAGATTCAAAATGTTCTGAAAACTAGACACAATTTCGGATGACTTTCGTGTTTTGAGAAAATGCTGATTCCAAACGTACTCGGCGAGTAGGGTCGATTACTCGCCGAGTTGGTCTGAAGTTTCGCGATTCTGGACGCGCAGACTTGCCGTACACGGGTTTTAAGTGACGTACTCGCCGAGTAGGTCACCGGACTCGCCGAGTAGCCCCTGTTTTGTGAAAATCTATATAAAGGGACTTTCAGATCGATACCCTAGGAGAGAGATGAACCCTTGGAGGCCAATTGTCGACTAAAGGTGCTGTTGGAGCGTGGGAAGCAAGGGAATCAACCCTACATTCAATTTTAAGGAGAATCAAGTCAAAATCAAGTTTACTCTTACCTAATCTCTTGTTTGAGCTATGTTTTTACCAATTGACTTCGTTTTTGAGCTTGTTTCTGCTGTAATCATGAGCTAAAAACTCATAACTTCTGTTTAGGTAGATGGATTTGTGAACATGGATTGATTATTTGATTAGGATTAATTTTAATTGGTGATTATGTTTTATTAAGCTTGTTAAAGAACCTTATGTGTTAACAATAACTATTCTTCTGTTAATAAATTAGTAATTAAGTTGTATGAACATCTCTTAGTTATTAATTTCATATGATTTATTGTGACCACATAGTTGTATGTCTAGGAATAACGAATGTGAAACTAGAATTAACTAGAAGATAGGTAAGTTAATGTGTGAGATTGTTTGATGAACATCACTAAGAGGTTAATTGAATCATCAATTTGATTAGCTAATTACAAGTCTTTCTAAACCAGAATCAACAAACTAGGAAATTCATTAATTTAGACAACTGGCCATTGCTTGAATTAATCTGTTTTCTAAGGATTAGCTATAACGAATGTGAATCTAATCACTTTAGTCGGTAACCAATGAAGAATTAATCCGATATATTTACCATAAAATCATCAAATGAGTCGAACCTAAACAGAAGTCCTCTTTATTATTGAATTTAGTTGATTTTTATTTGCTTAGCTCTTAGTTTCTTAGTTTAAGTTTTAGTTAATTGTTTAAGTTTCTAGTCTTGCAAAACTAGAGAAAACTCTTTCTATTACTTGTTTTATTTAGATAATATTAGCATCTATTATAATTGTTTACCGTTCCCTGTGTTCGATACCCTACTTACCTGAACTAAACTGCTAATCGATAGGTACACTGCCTTTCGTGTGTTTGTCTTTGTGTTTAAGTTAGTAGGATTAAAACTAGTTTGTTTCACACACATCAAGTTTTTGGCGCCGTTGCCGGGGAATGGTTCTAAATAGTTAATTTTAATTGCTAATTGTTATTATTTTTTTTATTTGTTGATTAATTTTTTTATTTAGTTTATTTAGTTTATTTTTATTTTTATTTATTATGTATTTTCCAAATCTCGATGCTTTTGATGCTTTTCTTGAGGAAGTAGTACAGGAAATTGAGCAAGAAGATGAGAAGTGTGGATGAGATGAAGATTTGAAGAAATTTGATAGATGGTTAGATAACATCTTGCCCAACACACAAGAACAATCTGAGTCACAAGAGCTAGAGTTAAAAGATGAAGAATTTAA